GTCGATAGCTTAAAGGAAATAACGACCGCATTCCCGTCGCTTGGATGATATTGGATGAAGAAGGCCGCAGAGGAGCTCGTCCGCCCGCGCGACCTACGACTGGCACTGCGTCGCATTCGTCGAGCGCAGGTTCCGTGCCGGCCACAGCAGGACTACTGCGCTTTAGGCCGGCAGAGGAAGGCCTCGTGAGGGGCTCGTTCATGGTGCGCTGCTTCCCCCGCGCCTTCCCCCTCGCTACCGTGCCGTGGATTGAGCAGTGGCGGGCAAGGGATGCGGCAGATCGGGCGCTTGTGGTGAAGTGCCCGATCACGATGCGCGAAACGGACCCCAGCGTGCGCTTGTGCGCAGCCGACATCAATGGGGGGATCCTGCAGCATCCGCCTGCCAGCAAAGAGAATGTTGACCTTGATGAATTACGAAGCAAGCTGCGAGACAGTGACAGCATCATGGGCGCCTGCCTCCTGGAGATCGGGCTAGCACAGAACGAGAGCAATCAGGTGAACATCGTGGCCATCCATGGACTTGGGGGCGGAATTGCGAGAAGGGGTTTGCGACGGCAGCTCGTTCGGAAAAGGGGGGGGGGGGCAGCTAGTGGACAGCGCCGCGTACTCCGGCCCCGCCGCCAACAGCATGCAGAGTTTCGGTGTGGAACTGAGCAAGATATTGCATGCAGCTAAGGCGGCATTTTACCCGATGGGGTCTTACTGGGGCGCAGCAGGAATTCCGTGGAGGTGGCGCCGCGCAGTGCTGCTAGGGCGGGTGGTTAACGCGGCGCTCTCTGCAGTGGAGCCTTTCCTGCCCACTATGCGGCAGCGCGACGTCCTAGACGGAGTGGTCGCTTCTGTTTGCGAGGGTCCGCGCGTGGAACGAAGATGGCGCAGTGCGCTCGCTCGCGAACGCAGGGGCCCTGGCGCGCTGGGGGATTTTTCGGGCAGAAGTGGAACTGCGTGTGAGGAGGCTACGGTGCTAGCGGCAAGCATCAGGGGATGGCAGCAACAGCGTGCAGTTCTTCGGGGCTCTTCTTGGCACCGTCAGTGGCCAGGCGATGAATGCGGTCGCAGATGACGGAAGTATTTCGGGTCGTGCCGACCCTTGGGCCAAACGGGCCCAGGGGGATGTGAATCAGCTCGTGTTCTTTTCAGAAGAAGCGCAGGTTCTGCTTGAGATGGCTGGTTCGCATGCAGTGGCTTGGCTAACAGATCCTGAATGGCGCTCCCAGTTCTGCCCCATCGATGTCAGTATCCTTTGAGCTCGGGAAAGCAAACATCACGTGCCCCCCCCTTCCCAGCATGCTTCGCACCCCCGGCCTGGGATAATCAGGAGGGGGAGATGATGATTCGCGAGGTGGGGGAGTTCCATAAGTGCCAGGTGGGGGTGGAGGGGAGGGCCTGCGGGAGGCCATTTCATGCGAAACGCGCTCCTCGTACTCGTGTTCGGCTGGTGCGCAACGTCGTAATCTTGTGTTCGTCCTACAACCCGGCGAACGAGTGCATCGCCTGTCAGATTGTATTCGTGTCGCCCGTCCCGGCTCGTCGGTGCCTCGCTCGATCTTTTCAGAGGGGCTATTGTGTTGCTGACCTGGCCCGTGCTCTCGTGCAGCCCCATCGAGCCTCGATCCTTGGACTGCCCTGGATGTGACTGCGTGGCGGGATCTTGGCTCGAGCTCCGTGGGCATCTCGCGCGGCATCTTCCATGTCTTTCTGATATTCGTGCGCCCGCGACAGCGGGCAATGATCTTCGGCGCGGCCGCGGACGTCGACGCGCCGCGGTGGATGCAGGAGGCCGGGCGTGCCGAGGCGAGGCGGGCTTTGCCCGAAGGCAAGTGAGGCGCAGGCGAGAGCAGCGAGGAGGAGGGGCCCAACCGGCCCAATTCTCTGAAGGGGAACGAGGTCGTGGCAGAGGCCAGGGCCAGCGCGGGCAAAGGTGCCAGCAGGGCGCAGACAGATCGTGCAGGCCCTCGTCGCCATCCTCAGCAAGCTGGTGCTCAGCGTGGCGGGGGGCCTGCGCGCGGTCATCAGCGCGGTCTTCGTTGCGGCGCTTGTTCCAGCGGTGATCCCGTGCATCGCGGCGGCGATTGAAGCTGGCAAGGACTGCCGCGCTGCGGCGAAGCTGCTGCGCGAGGAGAGCAAGAACGACGACGCGCTGGACGCACCGAAGTTGGGCAGCCCTCATCTACGCGCGTGGAAGGACTTCATCCGCGCACTCCCCGTGAGGACAGAGGAAGGGAATCCGAGAGATATTCGGGCGGACTACTGGCGCAATCACATCGTAATGTACCAGCTGAACGGCGTGGTGGAGGGAATCCAGTACTTCCGAGTGCGAGTGGCGCAGGGCAAGGTTAGAAGAAGGGCAAACGCACGGAGGGCAAGGTGCGCTTTCAGCGGGCGCTGGCGATCCGCAGCAAGAAGATGAGCGGCATCGACGGGGTGCTGCGCTCGGAGCTCGTCCGCCAGGGCGGGGAGATCACCGTGGGAGCAGCGCCTCCGGGGGTCTTGGAGAGGGGCGCCACAGCGCTCTTGAAGAAGCTCGAGGGAGGCTCCTAGAAGTAGAAGTGAGGAGGATGGATCGGTTGTCTAGCAGCGCCCGTCTAGAGGAGCTAATTCGGATGGGATTCGTCAGTCGTGAAACGGTCCTCGCTTCATATACTTCGGCGCTGGCCCCAGAGGTTTCTACGGATTCCCAGGGCCGCCTCGTGCCGGTCGCAAAAATTCAGCCGCGCCCGAAAGGACGGGGTAGGGGTAGGGGGAGACAGTATCGTCCCTCGGAGCGTGGGAGAGGGTGGGCTGTGCTGCGGCGATCTGCTCTGCGGGAGGGAACGCCGTGTGGGGCTCCCAGCTGCAGGACATGGCGCCTGGTAAGGCACGTTCCCTTCAGTGAATCTATGGGTTGCCACCTCCACGCCCTTTGCTCGTGCCTCGTGGGTTGTGGAGGGGCCCGTGTGATTTTCCCACCAGTGCCAGCGTGTAAACTCGGTTGCAGCCACACAGGCATGCCGCCCAGCGAACTCAACAGTCGAATAACTCTGCTAGTTTCTCGCCAAGGAACGTCTAAGTCTAAGTCTAAGTCTCCTCCTCCTCCTCGTCGTCTTCCCCCTGGTTCCTCCTCTTCCTCCTCCTCCTGGTTCCTGGTTCCTGATGGCTAGCGGTTTTGTGCTGGCAGGTCGAGTTCTCTGAGTTTCTTCATAAGCGTGGGGGGGTATCCCCCCGACGGGGGTCAGCCTCGCCTCGCCGTCGCGCCGCGGCGGGGGTCGGAGCGCCTTCGGCGCGCGGTGTCTGCCCGCGACGGGGGTCGATGTGGGGCTGTCGGCGGGGTTGACGTCCCCCCGGCGCTTACCAAGAAACTCGGAGTACGCATGGATCTTTCTTGTTACGAGCCAAGAGAAACGCACGCCCAGCATCGGCCCCAAATGGGTTCATGTGCTAGCAAGAGGGTTCTTGGAGAGCCCCAAGAATGCCCTTGAAGTGTTTATGCACCCAGGGGGTTCCCAAGAGGCCCTCAGCGGTTTTCAGAGCCAGAGGGTCACGGAGGCCTCAAGAGGGTAGAGGCCCGAGACAGCCTCAAGGGACCCCAGGGCGATTCGCAGCTGACTTCATTTAGCAAATCGATATTCGTAACTATATGGTGCAGAATCATCCCGACAGGCTTGATGCATTTTCCCCTGCCGTTTCATATGGTCGATTAATTCATCCCGTTCAGTCTGCAATCGTTGAAGCGTTTTTTGTTCTTTGTGGCCCACGCCGAGAAGTACTCCGAAAGGCTGTGGCTCCGTTCTCCTCACATCATGTGCGAGCTGTGGCCTTCAAGAGGCCAGGCTCCCAAATCGGTCTTGAAGAGGTCCCCAGGAGGCTTCGCTTGGCGGGGGGGGAGTCTGCCGGCATGGGTCAGAGGGGGCGGTGAACCCCTCCCCAAACAGGAAGAAGTGGGTTGGACGAGGAAGGGCGATACACCATCTAAGTCCAAAGGGCTGGTAGGATTCGGAGGTTGGAACACCCGCACAACTTGCCAGCGCTGAAAAGTATGTTCGCTTCGATGATGATGAATAGGAGTGGACGTGGATAAGCACGATAATGCTGACGATGACGATTGTGGATCTGGCGATGACGATGAAGATGACGATGATGACGACGACTTCGATTACGACGATGACGAGGAGGATGCTGCTGAGGATGGTGATGATTACGATGATTCTGAGCGAGGATTATGATGAAGTTTCTGATGACGATGATGGTGGTGGTGATGATGATGACGATGCTGACGATGATGATGATGATGATGATGATGATGATGATGATGATGATGATGATGATGATGATGATGCTGATGCTGATACTGACGTTGATGATGCTGCTGATGATGATGACGACGACGACTATACGACGATGACGAGGAGGATGCTGTTGAGGATTGTGATGATTACGATGATTCGGATTCGGGCGATGGTGATGGCGGTGCGGATGGTGAATCTTATGATGACGATGATGGTTGTGGTGGTGACGACGATGACGATGCTGACGACACTGATGATGTCGATGCTGATGTTGTTGATGATGCTGCTGCTGATGATGACGGTAAGAGGATGATGACGACATGCTGATGACGATGGTATGATGGTTCGGGTGATGATGATGCGGATGCGGATGATGATGATACTGTTGCCGATGGTAATGATGATGTTGTAGTTGATGATGATGACGATGTTAATACTGATGGTGATGATGCTGATGATGATGATGATGGTGATGATGATGATGATGTTGACGATGACGATGATGCTGCTGCTGATGATGATGCTGCTGATGCTGATGATGAGGATCATTCTTATTATGCGTACGATTACGCTTATGCCAACAATGCTGGTGATGACGATGATGATAGAGATTCCTATGATGGCAACGTTTGGGACGACGACAACGATAATAACTTGAATGATGGCGGTGGTGAAGCTGACGGTGGTGGTGATGATGATGACGTGGAGGAGGGGACGTTATTGGGCGCCGCAGGCTGAGCGCTCGTCTTTCTCCTGGAGTCGCCGCTTACGTGCCTGTAGGCTGCAGGGCCAGTCGAAGCTTCTGGACCTCTGCAGGAAGGCACGGGCCAGCGTCCTACCTGTTCTCGTCCCTTGCCTCCCCCCCTCTCCCACAGTAACACTATTGATTCGTTGGGTCAATTGGCTACACTTCACGACGTAGCCGCGACTTAGGTCACGCGACAGCGTCCTACAGACGAGCGCTTACGAGCAGACATAATCCACGGAAGCATCTGCTAAGGATGTACATGGGATCGGTGATTCTCATCGACTGGCCTATTGAAGCAACAGTTGCGCATATTATAACGGCGTATGAGTAGAATGCCCATCGGCATGCCGCGACGGCGCACTACCGACAGGCGACCCGAATTACGGACACGAGCGCTAAGAGAGGCGATCCATCCCACGACCACCCATTTGCCGTTTTCCAGCGCTTGCGACGTGTGTAGCAGCACGCCGCCCAGCCCACACATACAGCGCCAGCGCCCACGAGAGGGACACCGATACAATCGATTCCCACGGCAATCTACAGACGCAGTGTGGAGCATACTTATGGTTACATGTGTTATGTGTGAGAATCATTGTGCGCATGAGTTGCTGCCTTCCCTGGCTATTCGTGGTTATTAGTGATTATCTGTGGGCGCTAATCGGCGATATTAGGCGCTAGAAGGCGCTAGTAGACACTAGTATGCGCCAATGAGCGCTACTCCACACTATTAGGCGATACCAGGTGCTCGTAGGGATATTGCTACACACTGATAGGCGCTAGTAGGGTGGAATATGCTCTACGATCACCCTCGCACACACATACGCGTAACTATAGTCTGGCTTCGCCCGCAGAAGCGTCTGCATGGCACACTTGATGCGGTGACACTGGTTTCGTGGTATTGCGCAGATGTTCTGCCATATGGTATTGCGACGGGCTGCCAAGTGACTCGACATACAGAGGCCCCCTATCCAGACTACAGAACAGCAGGGATGGACAGTCCACTGCGGACAGCAACGCGGTGAGACGACACACGGAATCTCTTACACGACATTGGCTCGCGCGATGACGCTACCACAGCAACGCAGTTGCAGTCTTTCACGACCGCGACACGACCAACATTACGGCATCAACGACTCCAGGTCATTCGAGCGCAGCCACTGTGGCCTTCGGTGGAGGTCCCGACGAGGCCACGAAACGTGTAAGGGTTGCGCCGACACGGGTGCGGAAGCGCCATGCGAGCGCTGTTGCGTTCGGTGGATCCCCCCGACGGGGCCACGAACCGTGTGAGGGGTGTGCCGACATGGGTGTGGTGGTGCCACGCGAACGCTGCCACTAGGGCCCTCGGTGAAGCTCCCTATGAGGCCACGACGCGTATGAGGGTGTGCCGACAGTGGTGCGGTGGTACCATGCGAGTGCAGCCACTGGGACCTTCGGTGGAGCTCCGTACAGGGCCACGAAACGTGTGAGGGGTGTGCCGAAACGGGTGCGGGACCGCCATGCTGACCTTGCCGCTGGGATCTCCAGTGGCCTTCGACAGCAGAGATCGGCGAGAGCACCGATTTGAGGCACCGACCGAGAAAACGTTTCGATCGAAAAGACCAGCTCTTGAACAATTACCTGCGATTGCACGGAGAGGGCGGGACACCTCCAGGACACAGTCAGGGAGAGACTCGGCATCGCTCGGACGTGTACATTTTCCCCTGCGAGGACCATCGAGGAAAATCTTGGATCATCCGTCGAGACATACGCGCACGAAACAGAGAGGCACGAGAAATGGACGTCCGAGCGAATGGCAGGAGAGGGGAGTGGGAGGAATGGTGTGCAGTTGTGGTGGGGAGGGGCGGCACGGCCGAGTGAAATGTGGTACGGGGCAGGAATCGGAGAGCGGTGACAGGAGCTGGGACCCACGTCTTCAGGGCAGGAGTCTGTCGTGCCCATGTGTGGATGTGCTTCTGGAGACGGCCCGCAGAACAAGTTGAACTTGAAAGCTGTAGAGCATGTGGAGGATATCTCGACTTCGGTGCGCTGTGCTACGCGGTCTAACCCAGAGCCTGCTTCTCCTGCACGTTGCTTGCCGTGTTCATCTGTTCCGTCCGAGTGACCTGTGTGCACAAGTCGGCGAGATCAGGAGTGCCCACCAAGCTCTTCTTAGTGAAGGAGTCTTGGCGGGAGGAGACGCTGACGTATCCTTGGAATGCGTTCTAGGAGAGCAGTTCTGCTGCCGCGTTGAAAAAGTATTGCGGCCACCGCCTGTGCATATCCTGCCACCCCCCCTGTTGCCGCACTCCTTCTCGGCGGCGCGCAAAATCGGCGGCGAGCCCGGGGGGGGGGGAAGTGAGAAGGGGCGGGCCTTCTCTCTCTGAAGACTCGGAAGTCCCCCGGCCTTCTGAGAAGTTTTCGAAGCCTCCCCGAATGACACAGAGAACTTTCTCTGAAGATCGGAGGCCTTAGGAGAAGAGAAGGTCTTCTCCTTCTCACTAGCCCCCCTTGTTCGCCGCCGACCCTTGCGCGCCGCCCATGTTCGATAATGCGAATGCAGAATACAGATCGGATCGATATCCGCAGCTTCTCGGCCTCACAGTCTCCTCAAGTTGCGTTCGGTGCAAGAACATATGAGGATACTGAGGAGAAGGGTGATGATGATGCTGCTGCTGCTGATGACGATGCTGAGGAGGACGACGATGATCATGAATAGTCTGATGCTGATGCTGATGATGCTGACGCTGATGATGATGATGCTGATGCTGATGATGATGCTGATGATGATAATGATGATGATGATGATGGTTGTGGAAGTGACGATGTTGAGGAGGAGCAGGAGGAGGACCAGGAGCAGGAGGAGGATCAGAAGGAATGGGAGGCTGAACGAGGAGGTCGGGAGGAGGATTATTATCAGAAGGAGGATGAGGAGGAGGCGAAGGAGAAAGAGGAGGAGTGAGAGGTCGAGGATATGATTATGCTGTTGACCATGACGACGATGATGGCGGTGATCTGGTGACAGTGATGATGGTGACGCTGGTGATGATGGTGCAGACGAAGATGACGCTGACGCTGATGACGACGACGATGATGACGATGATGAGGATGATGATGCTGATGATGATGCTGCTGAAGATGACGATGCCGATGCTGCTGCTGCTGATGATGATGCTAAGGATGAGAGTGATGATGCTGCTGATGGTGGTGATGATGATGCTGACGATGATGATGACGATGATGGTGATGAGGAGGAGGAAAATGATGATACTGCTGCTGCTGATGATGATAGCCATGATGGTGATGATGATCTGCTGCTGATGATGATGATAATGATGATCATGATGATGATGCTGCTGCTAATGATGCTGATGACGACGATGATGGTGTTGCTGATGCTGATGATGCTGCTGACGATGCTGACGATGGTGGTGGTGGTGATGATGATAAATATTCTGCTTCTGCTGATGCTGATGCTGCTGATGATGATGATGATGCTTGTGTCGGTGACGATGATCATTGTTTTTTTCGATGCTGGTGATTCTGCTGCTGCTGATGATGACGACGATGATGGTGATGGTGATGATAATGATGAGGATTATGATGAACATGAGGAGCAGGAGGAGGAGGATGTTGATGTTGATGTTGATGATGCTGATGCTGATAATGATTATGATGATGCTGATGATGATGATGTTGTTGTTGATGATGATAGTGAGTGAGGTCGTGGATCTGATTATGCTAATGACCATGTTAATGACGATGGTGGTGGTGGTAATGGTGTTGAGGTTGATGATGATGTCGAGGACGCTGACGATGACGGTGACCATGATGACGATGTTGCTGTTGTTCATTGAGTCCTGCTCTGGCCCCCCCTCCCACATACCCACACCCACATCCAGGGATCTCCATGGATTCCCAGGTATTCTTACGAATTTCCAATAAGTCTTGAGGGTTCCTTATGGTTCCTTGGGATTTCCCTGAGGATTCCTGGAGATTCCTGTGGACCCCTCGGGGGCTCCTGAGGATTCCGGAGGATTCCCGAGGGTTCTTGCAGATTCGGAGGGGTCCTGTGGATTCCTCGTCAATGAATCCTCATGATGGATTCCTGTCTCAGGTCTTGAAACTACGAATTCCGTCACGAATTCCGTAGTAAAAGTTCCTTACGAAGGAGTCTTTACACAGGATTCCTTAGCAAGTGTTCATTGCGAAGGATTCTTTGGTACGGAGCTCTTAGTCAGGATGCCTTAGTAAGGAGTCCTTTCCAATGATCCCTTACTTAGGATTGCTTCGTAAGGAACCGATCCTTGGCAAGGATTCCTTACTAAGGTTTTGTGTGTAATGGTTCCATCGTAAGATCCCTTAGCACGGATTCCTGGTTGAAGATACGTCAGTCAGGATTCCTCATGCAGATGTTCTGAGGAGGAATTCCTTTAGGAAGGATTTCTTAGTAAGGGTTCCTTACGGGAGTTTACATATGTAGTGATTCTTATCAAGCATTCATTTGCAAGGACTGCCTTTGTAAGGATTCCGCATTTCGGGTTCCTTAATGAGAGTTCCTTCGTAAGGAATTCTCAGTTAGGGTCCCTGTGTACGGATTCCTGAGTACAGATTCAGAAAACATTTCCCTTTTGAACATCCTTCATGAACATTGCTGAATTTCCCAAATCGGCTTGCCTAAGGAGTTTTTAGCTGGCTGAAGGTTGGTGCCTCGGGGTTACTTTGCCCGTTCCCTGCAGATTCCTCGGGTGGCCGGGGTTCCGTGGGTTCCCTGGGTTCCTCGGGTTCCTTGGGTTTCCCGGGCAATGCCAAGCAATGCCAATCAATGCGCCCATGCAATGGGAAGTTTTCTAACAATTGGGGTCGCGCCAGGTTCATTCGGATTTCTGGGTACGAATGACTTCATCCTTAAGAAGTAAGCTTCAGAACGGATGCCTGGGTAAATGTTCCCCGTCGAGAGACCTCTGATTCAGGTTTGTGTTCCAAATTAGGCTTGCCTAAAGGGTACCTGGTG